CCCTCTTTCTTTTTTTTTTTTTTTTTGGTCCACCGCCAATTAACCGAATCGTCGTCTTTTTCGCGATAACCATCGAGGCTAAATCCTTCTCTCAGTCAAACGAATATTAACGGTATCTTTTCTTCTATCCAACTATTCTTCATATCGCGCGTTAAGCTGTGTTTACGTGACGAGAAGCAGTAAAGCAGTCTCGATTGAACACGCGGGAATCATCAGCAATGACCGTTTTTCTTTTCACACACGACACACGTGTATACGCGAATATATTTCAATTCCATCTTCTCAAACGCGCTAACTGAAATTTTCTATATTCGAAGTAAATTCTCGGTTCATCGTATCGATCGAATGAAAAGATCTTTACGAGGAATATTCTTTTTTCTTTTTAACGCTAATCGTATTATGAGTCGCATTCTTTCATCGCATAAATTTTTCAACATCATAATTTATTTCATGATTCTTCGCGCGTATTGTATCGTATTTTTTCTCCCAGTTTTCTTTCGAACATTTCTTAATCCAACAAATGTAATGCGCGTGCTTCGACTTACAATTTCTGCAATTTCTCTCGTTTCATTTCTTTGCGATTCTCACGTATTTTTCGCATAATAATATTAATGTAATATAGAAACAATAATAAGTGACAATATTATCAACAGTAATTATTCGTCTTCGATATTAATCCGAATCCACCCGATTTCTACCGAATTCATCCGATTAGTTACGAACTCATCCGATTTTCAAAGTTGGCCCGACTTTTTCCGTACTCGCCCGATTCTTCCCGAACTCACCCGAAGTATCGAAATACACCCTCGTATCCCTTATGAACTTCGATTCTTAGTAATTATCGAGGCTAGTAACTAATGGGAACAGTAAGGAGAGTTTTAAACGCGTTTGAACGAAAATTTTATAATTTGTTCAGATGCTTTCTTCGGCCCTGTATGCGACTACGTGATAGCACCTGTGGCCCGATACGCCGGCATATGGGGTATTCCCGTGTTGACCGCAGGTGCTCAGGCCGAAGCGTTCCGTTACAAGAGCGAACATTATCCAACATTGACCAGAATGATGGGTTCTCATCGGCTGGTAGGCGAGGCGCTCAGACATATTTTGGAGCGATTCGGATGGAAAATCGCCGGTCTGCTTTATCACAATCACGCGATGGCCAGCAGCCGTGGCAATTCGGAATGCCACTTTACTTTGGGCGCTGTTTTCACGGCCCTCGGTCAAACGTCGGTTCACAAAAGTTTCAACCAGGAAACGACCACTGTCCAAGATTATCGAGATTTGCTCACTTTTCTCGCGAAATCCGCCAGAAGTAAGTTCAGATTAGATAAGATTTAGATTTTTTTCCCCCCCGATTTATTCCCAAAGGATTCGTTAAACGCGAATATCGCAAGTTGGGAATATTTATATCGCGTATAGGAGACAGCCTTATTCTCCTCAATCTAGCTGTTCCAAAAAATTCGATTCTCTCGCAACAGCGATAAAATTCTTGAAATTTAACATGTAGATCATGGCCAGAACTTAACGAATTTTTAACAGTGTCGTCAATTTCGTTGTTCGAGGAAATGGCACAGTCGAATATATATATATATATGTATATCTTTTTATTCGATGCGGGAAAGTACGACGCGACGGTTAAAATTGGCAGAGAGTCTCGTCTCGCGGAATAAACGGAAACGCAGATAGAAAGATAAACAGGTTTTTTTTTTCTCCTTCGTTTCAGTCGTGGTGATGTGTGCCAATTCGACGACCATCAGAGAGATACTTTTGGCCGCGGAACAGCTTGGAATGGTCGATTCCGGGGAATACGTGTTCTTTTCCATAGAACTCTCGTCCAGGTAACGTGTGAAACGTGCGAAGCTTGGTTTCGACCACCTTCCTCGGAGCCATTAAATTTCGACCACAAACCGCACGGCTTCGAATTCACGTTGCGCGTTAACCTTCGATTCGCTCCTTTGAAAAAATTATTGAAAATGGATAAATTTTCGAATTAAAATTAATTTTACGAATATATATATATTTATATATTTACGAATATATTTATATACGTTTCAAGTATAGATTTTGACTCTGATTCAAGAAATTGTCATTCGTGTTTCGTTGTTTCAGCGATAACAACTCGAAGGAGCCATGGAGGGTGGAGGGCGACACGGTGGAAAGGAACGAAAAAGCGCGGAAAGCTTATCAAGCACTGTTAACGGTCACCGCTCGAACCCCCGACAACATCGAATATTTGAATTTTTCGCGAGAGGTGAAAGCGCTCGCGCAAACAAGATACAATTTCACTTTTGGGAGCAACTCGGTCTCGACATTCGTGACCGCGTTTTACGATGCGGTCATACTTTACGCCCTCGCGCTTAAAGAGAGCTTACCGGAACATCCTGACAGAATAAATCTGGACGGCGGTGACCTCACACGGAGAATGTGGGGTAGAAGTTTCAAAGGTGTGGCGTCTTATTTCTCTCTCTTAATCCAGTTGGAATATTCTAATTAGGAAAATTCTAATTAAACTCCGCCGTTTTGTAATCATTCCATCTATTTATCTATCTATCTATCTATCATCAGCTCGAGTCCTCGAGCCGCAAGATCGATTGTTTTGATTGCAGGTATAACCGGAGATGTGAACATCGACGAGAATGGGGACCGAATAGCGGATTACTCCCTTCTCGACATGAATCCAGAAACGTCGAAATTCGAGGTAAAATAAATATTCGATTATCCATATATATATATATATATATATCTTTGATTACACGTATATTAAATGTATATATACATTGTGTATATACGCATTGAGTGTAGATCGTCGCCAATTATTACGGTGCCAATAAGACGTTGCAATACGTAGCTGGGAAAAGGATTCATTGGTCGGGTGGCCGATCAAAACCACCACCTGATACACCCACTTGCGGTTTCGACGGCTCCTTGTGCCCTGATAATAGTAAGTCAAATTGAGAATCCTGTATACAAGGATCAATGATATAATCCTTCTGATTTGTCATCTTTCTATTCAAATACTCTCTTCATAAAAAGATGTGGATCCACTTTTTTTTAATTTTATCCCTTTGCTCTCCAATGGTGACTTGAATTAATGTCATAACTCCAGCGGTCACTTTTCAGTACCATTTGAATTGATATGGCAAATATTATTATAATATATTATAGTAATTATATATTAGAGTATATTATATATATTATAATATATTATATATAGTATTATTATAATATATATATTATAATAATTTTAACCCTTTGCTCTCCAACGATGACATCGGTCACCACTTGACTTAATATCGTAATTCCAGCAGTGACTCTCCAA